ACTGCTTATGTTAGCTTTTAATATACGGTTTTATCCTGATTAAAGCTTTAATACAGTACGGCAACTGCACGCGCGTCCATGTTTAACGCTTCTCATAGCTATGTGAAAATAAGTGTATAATTGGAACAGTTCATTGGTGGAGATGAGCTGAATGAGAGAGAGAGAGAGAGAGAGAGAGAGAGAGAGAGAGAGAGAGAGATGCAGAGTGTGCAGAGCAGGGGAACGCGAGGAACAGAATTTTAAAAGACGATATCTCTGTTTGCACTGAACTTTCAGCTTCGTAACTTTGCAGATATTGTTTATGCTCAAACAGCAACATTACACACTAACTAACGTTAAAAAAGTGAAATCGCTTTAAAACCCCTTTAAAAGTGAGAGTTTGCAAGCTGCGAACATGAAAGCCATGTTTTGATTCAGAGAAGAAGGTGCTTGACCTTAATTTTGTCTTCACAGAAAAGCCACTAATTTATGGTGTTTTATTAAATACAACCATAACAATATTAAAAGTGACACTGTTCAACAGGTTTGACCAACTTGGGATTTCAGTTCACTTTTGTGGGAGGGGTTAACCACTTGTATGGGTTAACCTGCGTATGGTTAAAAATAGCACTAACACTCCTGCTCCTCTTGTTAGCAGAGCTAAACTAAGATAACAGGCTGTTTGACATGGAACATATAGTTTTAAAACAGCTACAGGACTTTGACTAGTTTACTCTTACAATACACTATTGAAAAAGTATTCTATTGCAGTGATTATCATGAGAATGAGTATAAAAATTATTCAATATGAAAGCATTTACACCTTCATTTTTGAAAAAAAGGAAAAAAAGTTCATTGCACTACTGCAATAACTTTCTGTAAAATAATTACAAAAAGTGTTTGTTGTATGGCTTAAATGTCTGTTTATGACTGAAAGCATCATATAAAGTAAACATTATTTTCATGACACAGCTGGTCATGTGATCTTAACATGGTGGTGCCTATAAAGGAGCAACCTGCTCCATTATATTTCTTAACGTGCTGTTCATTTCTTCCAAGTGCAAAACTTTTCTACTTAGCAATGCACAACATTACACAGGTAAAACTTCACATCAGGAGGGGGTAGACAGATGCACCCTAAACAACTAGCCTACCTCAAGATCCAGGAAGTAATGTCAGCCAAGAGGGGGTTTCCATGACCCTATCATTTATGAATTTGGTGTCAATATATTAATAGACAATAAAATGAATGATGACTTGAAGATGCACCTACAAAGTAAACATCATTATTTAGGCATATCAAGAACTATCATTCACCGTCTAATACTGGATCGCACTAATGTCATGGTACTTATTTGACTTAACAACCTGCAACCTGGCATGAACATTGTCTAAATGCCCTGCAGCTTGTTATCCAAGTACACAACGGCAAAAAAAAAAAAAAAGCATTACCTCCAAAGCGCGTATCTCGTGTTGGGTCAGGTCGTTAGATGCGGCGCACTTGGTCCGGAGCCCTTTTAGACTAGAGATGGAGATCTCGATCAGGTTCTGGATGAGTTCGCACTGGTGAAGCGCGTCCATCCCTGCATTACTGCCATAGCTCGCGTCCAAATGCTCCTTATCACTTGCGACCATGTTTCCAACTTTGCCAGAGACACTAGTATCCATTCCTAGGCATTGGCACGGCTTTAGGGGCATGGGCTCGAACTGCAGCAAATACTAGTCCAAAGTCATGTTTGTAAATGCATGTAGACTAAACGGAGGTGCCAGTCCCAAGGGAGTTCTGTACTAGTTCAGAGCGCAAGCATACTCCTCAAACATACTCGTGGACTGGTTTGAGAGCCAGACAGGACGCGTTGTCAGCTTGTTCCGCCTCAAACGTTGTATGTATATCCCGTGAAGCCCTCTGAGAAGCGCTCGCTTAGGTCTCACCCTCAGTCAGCTGTTTGAAGTAGCGTTTGATGCTTTGCAGTGTGGGAAATGAAGTTTTGTTTACACGCCCATCGGACCGTTTGAGGATCACTTACGTAACGTTAATTGATTTTTTTATGTTGTTGTTCAATTTTTGACTTAAAACAAAAGTTGTTCATATGTTTTTTTTTGTTGTTGTTGCTATATGCACTGCTTGTGTATAGGGACCTTGAACTTGTTAAAAGCGCTTTATAAATAAAACATTATTATTATTATTAGTTGGGTAGAGTAAATGAAATAAAATTTAATACACTTTATTGTCCCCTAGGGGAAATGTGTCCTTGACTCAAGGTGCGTTTACACTGACAATATGTTGAATGCACAAAAAAACAAAAACTAATTAAGAACAGTAAACCATAAAAATGTGGAAAAAGTTGCAATACAATAACGTAGTATTCTGATTTTTTATTTATTCTATTCTTTTTTTCTCAGAGACAATTTATGCTTATACGTTAATAAGTAGGCTAGAAGTATAATATATATTGTACAGTATTGAATATGGTTAACTAGTTATGTTCTCGCAGGTTTGAGATAAATGGATAAATGTTTAATGAAACAAGGTGGAAAAGAGTGAATAAATTAATAAGAGTCCACTGAGCCTGATAAATACAAAATCACTAAAATGATTACATAATATATATGGCCCCTGTAAATGAAAAGTTGTAATTAGCATGTTAGGGCACTTATTTTAAGTTTTTCCCACCCAAACAATATAAAATTTAGATTTTTCCCGCCCACCATCAAAAACGGACCAATCAAATGAACTGTTACATTTCGAGGACTATTGTACAATTGTGGAGTGGAATCTTTAGAACTATGATACTTCATTTTACCCGATGCCTATTTTTACCTGACATCACCTTAAATTTGACATAACGTAACATAAAATATTGTATTAAAAAAAATATGTATGATCAATATCAATATATTACAATTGTACAACCCTTTGGTGGAACTTGTCTTGTCATATATCTGCTCTTGTTGGTTCAGTAATACAGTTCCCATTATGTCATCAGAGGCACACTTTGTATAAGGGCTGGAAAAACACGTTGAGTGTGTATATGTGTGTTCATGCATGACTGTTCACAGGTACTGCTCTCTGCCCACTCAGATGAGAAAATACTTTTTTTTAGACTTTCCACTGAGTTATGATTTGCTGGGTTCCCTTGATGTCAAAGTAGCCTACTATGGCAATTCAATAATTATATATGATTGTGTAAATAAACAGCACTTTTGCTGTTCAGAGTTCATTAATGTGTTTATGGCAAAGTGCTGTAACAGAAAGACATGAAGAAATGTTACAGCACCAACTTGCTGTATCAGGCACACACTTTCCCATGGGAAAAATCTCCTCTCCTCCAAAGCTTGCCAAGAAGGAGACATCATTTCAAAATGAACAGTAAAGAGGGCTGAAGCCAAAGAAGAGCCACTGCAAATTGTCTTTCCCTATGAGGCAGTCAAGCCAAGACACTTTTAGCCAACTGAATTGAAAGGAAAAACTGTAACCAGTTTGTATTTTGGCTTACAACACTCAGAAAAAAATGTCCACGTCAGCTGTATGACAGGAGCTTGATGGTTCTGCGGACAGTTGAAATGCTGCTTAGTCAGTGTTCTAAACCTATAGCCATCCGCACCGGTATCCTCTGAGTAATGACACTGCAGATCAGGTTAGGCTTAACAGAGAAAGAAGAGATGGAAAGACTTAAACAGACACTCACTCCATTCCAGGTAAGCAATGGTTTTTCTTTGTATCAGTCAACACATTCACACACTGGGCCATATACTGCTGGGGGCAGGCAGTTGTTAAAATATGGTGCTGCATATTATTAGCAAGTTATATAAACTATAGCAGATTGCAAATTCTGTTATCAGCTGTGAATTGATAACCATCTGGTTAATAACTTAGCAGTGTTAATGGAAATATGTTCACAAGATGTGAAGTGGGAAATGTAAATATGCTTTTAAACAGATAATGGGCTTTTAAACATATTATTTTAAATAAGCAAAGAAAGAAAAGAAAAAAAGACAAATGATGGTGTTTAAAATCACTTTCACTTCCATTTGGATGGTAATCCTGCATACGAGTATGAGTAAATGAATATGAGTGAGCATATAGTGCCTTCTGCTGGAAAAAGAAGGTAAGTAGTAAATTTATAATAAAAAAATCCTCCCTCTCAATCACTTGTCATGTTTTGTAACATTAAACTGCCATATTGTTGATGTTAAAGTTTGTCACTGTTAAAGTTTCAGATCTGTTCCAGAAAGTTCGGTTTCACCTCAGACATCTCACGATCTACGCAGAACATGTACTGTGTGCTATTGCAGCTTTCAATGCAACATCAAGGCAGGAAGTGGTTCACAATCAGAAAAGTATTTAGTTCACAGGAAGTTGGGACAATTGAAGGAAGGAAGCACTTTTCTCAGTTGCAGACGGCATGATTTCTACAGAATCTTAAATGTATTGTGGTCTTTCTTTCCAATAATTATTTCCATCATTATTATTTTCAGAATAATTATCAGTAGTCTGACAGTTTGACATTACATAGCCTACGTTACATTATATATATATATATATATATATATATATATATATATATATACATACACATACATGCATACAATTTATCATGAGAAAATATATAAATACTACATATATTTATAAATAATTTTATTTTAAATACAGCATAATTACGGCATAAAATGTTCGGCTTAAAAACGATCCAGAAATAATTTTTGTTGCACGCTGTCTTGAATGGAAATTCATTTATGCAATTTCATGCAAGTCGTACAGTCGCAATACGACAGCTAGATAGCGCGCGCTCATTTCCCTCACAGTCTGAGACCCATAGGAATGGGGAATAATGGCACACGCAGCCTGGAAATGGATACGGTCACGCTGCTCTCTCTGACCGTCGTGTCTCAGATTCTAGTGAACCTTGACAGCCTTTACGGAATGGATTCCCATACTGGTTGCTTTTAGGCAGAATAGAACTCATTGAAATAAAAATAAAAAAACAGGTTTTTAAAGAATTATGTTTGGTACTAACTATAATAATATTATATTATTTTATTTTAATTCACATATTTTAGGCAACCGTAGTAACTATACTATAATTAGGCCTAATAACATCTTATAACAATGTTATTTATTTAGTTAGTTAGTTAGTTAACGTGTGTCATGACTGAAGTGTATTTTGTGCTTTTGTTTATGGAATTGCAATTTGTAAATTTGCTTGACGATAAAAGCAGTAAAAATGAATTTGCTTGATGAGCGAAAAATAATTAATGTTAATTCTATTAAAATGAATATCTTGATCACAAAAAAATAATTAAAACAAAATTAATTAAAATAATTAAAGTAGGCCATCATGTGATTTCTACGGTGGCCGAGAGAGCTCAACGCGCTGCAAATGAAAAAAACGCATGCAGATAGAAAAAAAACATCTGCAAATTAAGAAAACATCTTCCTCAATTTGACAACACGCGCTGCAAATGCTCACAACACAACCAAATAAAGAAACGCGCTGCAAATATGCACAGACCACATCGGAGATGTTTAAGGGAACCACAAAGTGACGAACATGGCTGGGACATATTTATCAATGTTTGCTCTGAAAGATGAGATTTTTGTTTATTTTGTTTATATCATACTATTCCTTTGCTTCCTCTTTTTTTTTTTTTTAAAATTATTAGCCTAAATAAGCTGACGAAATACACAGGCTACTGTAACTGTGAAAGAATGTATGCTGGCTAACGTACTTTACAACTTCCCTTACAAAAATCAACCATATGCTTTTACTATTAAAATTAATTAATTAATAAATTTATTATGTAAAAAAAAAAAAAGGGTTACTAATCCATGGTAACCACAAATTAACCATGGATTTACTATACTAACCATAGTTTAACCATCCTCTTTGTACAACTGTGTTGGTTATACAAATGGCAATCAAAACAAAAAACACTATTTGTTTGTGTTGCGAGCATTTGCAGCGCGTTTCTTTATTTGTTTGTGTTGCGAGTATTTGCAGCGCGTTCTTTATTTGGTTGTGTTGTGAGCATTTGCAGTGCGTTTCTGTATTTGTTTGTGTTGCGAGTATTTGCAGCGCGTTTCTGTATTTGGTTGTGTTGCGAGCATTTGCAGGGCGTTTCTGTATTTGTTTGTGTTGCGAGCATTGGCAGCGCGTTTCTGTATTTGGTTGTGTTGCGAGCATTTGCAGGGCGTTTCTGTATTTGTTTGTGTTGCGAGCATTGGCAGCGCGTTTCTGTATTTGGTTGTGTTGCGAGCATTTGCAGGGCGTTTCTGTATTTGTTTGTGTTGCGAGCATTGGCAGCGCGTTTCTGTATTTGGTTGTGTTGCGAGCATTTGCAGGGCGTTTCTGTATTTGTTTGTGTTGCGAGCATTGGCAGCGCGTTTCTGTATTTGGTTGTGTTGCGAGCATTTGCAGGGCGTTTCTGTATTTGTTTGTGTTGCGAGCATTGGCAGCGCGTTTCTGTATTTGGTTGTGTTGCGAGCATTTGCAGGGCGTTTCTGTATTTGTTTGTGTTGCGAGCATTGGCAGCGCGTTTCTGTATTTGGTTGTGTTGCGAGCATTTGCAGGGCGTTTCTGTATTTGTTTGTGTTGCGAGCATTGGCAGCGCGTTTCTGTATTTGGTTGTGTTGCGAGCATTTGCAGGGCGTTTCTGTATTTGTTTGTGTTGCGAGCATTGGCAGCGCGTTTCTGTATTTGGTTGTGTTGCGAGCATTTGCAGGGCGTTTCTGTATTTGTTTGTGTTGCGAGCATTGGCAGCGCGTTTCTGTATTTGGTTGTGTTGCGAGCATTTGCAGGGCGTTTCTGTATTTGTTTGTGTTGCGAGCATTGGCAGCGCGTTTCTGTATTTGGTTGTGTTGCGAGCATTTGCAGGGCGTTTCTGTATTTGTTTGTGTTGCGAGCATTGGC